CCACTTAGAAATCAAAATCCTGAACTACAAATATTTCACTATATGGATGATGTGTTATTGGCACATAAAGATAAAAACACATTGCTAGAATGTTATGCCACACTTACAAATTTATTAAAAAATTATAATCTAGAGATAGCAATAGATAAAGTACAATTAAATCTTCCAATTAATTATTTAGGAGTTCTATTATCCTCAACCATGGTCCGTCCACCAAAAATTCAAATACAAGTAGATCAACTCAAATCACTTAACGACTTTCAAAAGTTATTGGGAGACATAAATTGGATAAGGCCTTATCTAGGCATACCAACAGGAGAGCTAGAACCTTTATTTGATATCCTAAAAGGTCCATCAGATCCAAATTCACCCCACATGTTAACGCCTGAAACAAGAAAGGCATTAAAAATCATTGAAACATATATGGAAAATATGCATTTGGATAGAATTGATATAAGTTTGCCTTTATTATTTATTGTACTACCAACAAAAAAATATTCCTACAGGAGTATTTTGGCAAGAAGGTCCATTATTGTGGATACATTTATCTTATTCTCCTAACACTATTCTTACTAGATATCCTGAGGCTGTAGGACAATTAATACTCAAAGGAATAAAAGCAGCCAAGGGAGTGTTTGGGATTTCTCCCAATAAAATTATTACTCCATATACTATGGATCAAATTGATGAGTTAGCTAATGAGTTAAATACTTGGGCAATAATCATGTGTAAATCTAATGTTTCATTTGATAATCACTTACCATCTAATCCTTTGTTGTCTTTTTGGTCTAAGCATCCTGTAGTTTTTCCAAAAATGACAAGAAAAACCCCTATCATGAACGCTCCAAATATATTCACTGATGGGTCAAATAATGGTACAGCAGCAGTAGTTACCCCTGATCAAACTTTTACATTTTTAGTACCCAAACAATCAGCTCAAAAGGTAGAGCTTAATGCAGTATTACAAGCTTTTATGATTTTTAAAGATTCTGTATTTAATTTATTTTCTGATAGTCAGTATGTAGTTAATGCTATAGTATCCCTTGAAGATGCTGGTAGGATTTTCCCTTCTTCTACTGTTTTCTCTTTGTTTTCCACTATACAAAGTCTAATCTGGGACAGAAAAGATCCATTCTTTATACATATCAGGGCACATACAGGACTGCCTGGAGCCCTTAGTTTGGGCAATGAATTAGCAGACAAATCTACACATGACATACATATTTTCTCCACAATAGAAGAAGCTATAAATTTTCATAAAAGGTTCCATGTCAATACTAATACTTTACAAAAGCATTTTAAAATAACTAAAGAACAAGCCAGACATATAATAAAGCAATGTCAAAATTGTGTGACATTTTTACCACAAGTTAATCTTGGAGTCAATCCTAGAGGACTGATACCTAACCATATTTGGCAGATGGACGTCGCACACTTGCCAGAATTTGGAAAATTAAAATATTTGCATGTTACAGTTGATACTTCTTCCAGATTTTTGATGGTCTCCCTTCATGCCGGAGAAAAAACTAAAGATGTTATAGCTCATTGCTTACAAAATTTTGCCACTGTGGGCGTTCCAAAACAGTTAAAAACAGATAATGGTCCTGGTTATGCTTCTACCTCTTTTAAACAATTTTGCTCATCATTTCGCATTACTCACATAACAGGAATTCCATACAATCCACAGGGACAAGGCATAGTTGAAAGAGCTCATCAAACTATTAAAATGTACTTATTAAAACAAAAGGAGGGAATTGAAAAGGGATATATATCCCCCAAAGATAAACTTAAAATAACCCTTTTTACTCTAAACTTTTTAAATTTGGATTCATCGGGGCTTAGTGCTGCAGAAAGACATTTGTATCCAAAAAATGTACATAAGCCTAAGGTACTTTGGAAGGATATTCTAACAGGACAATGGAAAGGTCCTGACCCAGTGATTGTCTGGAGTCGGGGCTCTGTTTGTGTGTTTCCACAGGGAGAACAACAGCCGATTTGGATTCCAGAGAGATTAACCAAAACAATTTCTACAGACCAAAAGAAAGATGATTTGACTCAAATCCACAACAGCTGATATCCAGAACTCCAGCTTGGCTATTCTTACATCTGCGACAGTGATTAACCAGGATGCTTTTTTCAATATCTATTTTATTATTGCTTTTCCCACATCATAAAGTTCTATTTTATTTTTAAGCTCATACAGACCTAGGTTAATGTTTTTCTGATCAGTTTTATTTTTTGACTGTGGAGTTTTTAAACACTGCAATGGAGATTTCACCTATGTAAAGCTACAAAGCCTTTACTATTGTCTTATGTGTTGTATGTTATGTGTGCACACTTCTGTTTTGTGTTGTATGTCTGTATGTGAGTATTTCCATATATCATATTGAGGGGTGCTCATAAATAAATGGATCCGAATTTTTTTTTTATTATTCACGTGATTTTAATGGTTTAATTTAAATTGGGTAAACAGCTGTTGAGGATTGTTTTAAAATGTGTACAAATAAGCAGGTTAACACATCTGTTTGTTTACTTTCACCTTTCCTTTTCATTATATTTAATAATTCTGTTCAGGATAATGTAAATTGTTCAAAAAATTGTTTTCTTAGTACCTGTTGGAATATTACATAATTCTTTTTTTTTTAGCATCATTGTCAGAATTCCTATCTTCATCCCAGTGCCGGTGAAGACAAAGATGAAACCAAACTACAGTTTCTTCGATAGTTATCACAACAAACTGTATAAACTGATGCATCTATGAATAATAACTCAACAAGTAATGCTCAATCAATGAGTCGATTTATTTTGGGAGGAAATGGACATATTGATAGATTCCTCCACTTTGAACTGCTTACAGAACTTGCCTGGACTATGTATCACTTGTATGCATTGTGATCTATCTGTTGATGCAGCGAATTATGGTAGTGCTGGCATATCTTTGCTGATGTGTCACCAGTGATGCAATTTTTCCTAAGGAGCCGTCAATTGACTTGGTGTTGTGGCATTTCTGTATCCTCCTCCCTTCTACTAGTGATGGTCTAATTTTGGGGGCCAACAGAGGTGAGGCAAAGAACCTCACCCCCCCAACTGGTGCATAGGCCTATCCACAAGTATGGCTATATGCTGGACCGGTAGTCAGTGACGGGTATGATCCAATTGCAGTGGTATCAACCTAAGACAGGAGGCTGACGCCTAGAGGTCAGTTCATCCCATGACGGGTAAGAACCATATGTTGAATTGGACAAACCTAACAGGCACGGTCCCTAGCCACATTGCTTGTTGCTTAATTAAACAGAAGGGGGGAGATGCTAAGAGCCACAGCCAAGTAATATGATGCATGGCATTTTTGGTTGAAAGGTGATGCCAGCAAGCCACTGAGATTATACGATTATGTTAAGATTTGCATTCATATGGATATTGGACTCCTGCTGTCCACCTCGGCCTGCTACGGGACTCCTGGAGAGTTCCCATTGGTTGGGGAAGTGCGGTAGGAGGGAATTCCGGAGGAGGAACTTCCTCTTGGGTTCCAGGGATCCGGGAGAATGCTGCGTGCGTCGATCGGCAATCTTCCCGGGAGCTTACGGAGCATTGGCGGCAGTTTCAAAAAATAAAGTTTGTTCCTGCTTGAGTGGCTCGTGATTTTGTGCCCAGCCAGACTGCAGCAACAGATTATATGTTTACTATGCGCAAGGTCCTATTCAAAGTGTTTTATATGTTTTAACTAATTTAAATCTTAAAACAATCCACTGGATTAGACTCTTCTCACCATTTATCAACAAAGAAATTAAAGTCAGACGGGGTGGTGCACACCTGTAATCCCAGCTACTCTGGAAATTGAGACAGGAGAATTACAAGTTCAAGCCCAGCCTGGGAAACTCAAAATAAAAAATAAAATGTACTGGAGTTGTAGCTCAGGAGTAAAAGCACTTACCTAGCATGTGTAAGGCCCTAGTTTCCCTCCACACATATGAGTGAGTGAGAGAGAGAGAGCAAGAGAGAGAGGAAACTGAGGCATAGAGGCTAAGTGCTCCATAGCACACAACTATTACACTTAGATTTGAATTCAGGGAGTTTAACTCAGAAAGCAAGCTCCCAGTCACCATTCTGTATGGCCTAAAGTCTGTGAATAATTCATTTGTTTAAAGCAGAGTTTTTAACACTTTAGAACACTGGGGGTCTCCTAAACCCATTCACAGAGTCTGTAGGATCAAAACTATTTCCATAATAATACTGTGGTAATGTTTGACTTTTCCACCATGTTAACAATTGCACTAAAGGTATAAAAGCAACAGTGGGCAAAACTGTTAGTGCCTTAGCACAAATCAAGGCAATGGCACAAAGCACTCTGTGAATCATTATATTCTTCAGTGGCAAACATTCACAGAAAAAAAAAATTAAAAAGAAAACAACATTTTATAAGAATGTTCTTGGTTAAACAGTTAAAAAAAAACAAAAACAAAACAGTGCTTTTAATAAATCTCAACCCTCAAGGATACATCTTTTTCATATTTCATGTGACAAAACAGGGGCAGGCATGAAGCACTTCTGCTGTATAATGAAATATGACAGTTGTCCCTAGCAACAGGACTTGTGGTTGTCCTGAGTTGTGAGCTGAACTGGGTACTTTTTTCATGGAACACAATTTTTACTTCAAGGAATGACTGACAATTTGTGGTTACTGAAACTCACTATTTGGCGGGCATTTTCTTTAAAAAGAAGATGTGAGCCTGTCACATTAAGGGAGGTATTGGGTCTTGAGCCAATCAAAAATTTAGAGAACAACTGATGTGAAGGCAAAAGACAAAATTTTTTGGTCTGATTTGAATTATGGTTTACAACTGAATGAAAATTGGAATTATTCTAAGACATTATTTTCATTAAGTCTTAAAATGTCCTATCTCACAAGTGAGTGAAATATTATTAGCAACTATTTTCTAAGACTCACACTTGAAACCATGACTGATAAGATTCTTTATGAGATTTATTAGGCTCTTACTTACCTTCATCTCAATAACAGTTTGCAGAGCCTTGGTCTTGGCAGAATCAGGAGCATTTTCAAACCTCCGGTGTATCTCCTATATAACAGAAACAAAGGAGAGTCAGTGCCCTCCTCCCCACTATGGACTTTTTAAAAGGGAATCGAGGGGCAGGTGTATGTAAAAGATAATTACTCCAACTTTGTCAGTATCTGCCTTATTTCTGAAAGACCAACCCTTGAACAGGGAATCCAGACTACATTCAGTCTATTCCAATCATGAAGCCACAGAAGAATATCTGACCCTGAACATTTAGTTATTTAAAATTGGTCACACCCCACATAGAGATAAATAAATAAAGATATTGTGTCCAACTACAACTAAAAAGTATTTTTTAAAAGGGGGGGGGAGCTGGAGTTGTGGCTCAGTGGTAGAGCGCTCATCTCGTACATGCGGAGCCCTGGGTTCGATCCTCAGCGCCACATAAAGATAAATAAATAAAATAAAGGTATTGTGTCCAACTACAATTAAAAAATATTTTTAAAAAATAAAAATAAAAATAAAATTGGTCACACCAATGCCAGTTCCTACAATAGCTGAAACTATAGCATATCACCAGGGTGGTGTGTCTATCTTTCACTTGACTCTAAGACCTACAATCAGAACTGCAAATGATCCAAAAATTAGAAAAGTTCCCTTTCTTACAGGAGAAAATGAAAGCTATTACAACCAGTCTGCACTGCACAAAGTATTGAAAATATCTGGGTTGACAACATCCTTTCCTTACTATTCACCCTCAGAGTTAATAACTACCTGGGTACCTAATGATGAAAATCTCTTGGGTGGGGCTATAGGTAGAAAGAAAAAGATAAGACTGTTGAACAACTTTCCTAAATAGTTCAGGTTTAGAAAATGTCAGAAAAACACAGATCTTTTTTTTAACCTCAGAATTTATCTCCCCCAACCCACAAACTGGGGATTGAACCAAGGGCTTTGCGAATGCAAGGCAAAGGCTTTTCTGCTGAGCTGTATCCCAGCCCTGACCCAAAACCTATAGAGTTCAGGACTGGAAGGAAGGATGTAAATGTCTTCAAGGGTCACTCTGAAGTTACCAGACCACCTCAGGCATTTCTCTTGTCAGATTCTGTGAATGTCTCTGAGTTAAAGGGTCAAGAAAGTACCCTGGGCAACCTCTAGTGACCCCAGGGAATACAGAGATGAATAGTCTCATCTGAATTAAGCATAATAAAAAGGATGGATAATACTTTAGTTATACATTTCACCTAATTTATTCATTCTTGCTTGAGTAGAAAGAATAGTTTGAGAAATCAAAGTATAACTTCTGGGGCTGAGGTTGTGGCTCAGTGGTAGAAAAAAAAAAATGAAACACTTTAGAACACTGGGGGTCTCCTAAACCCTCGCATGTCCGAGGCCCTGGGTTTGATCCTCAGCGCACATAAAAATAAATCAATAAATAAAATAAAGGTATTCTGTCCAACTAAAAAATAAATACATAAAAATACATATAATTATTTATATATGTGTGTATATTTTATATATATATGTATATCTGCAACTTTACTGAGTTACTTTTTCTTAAAAAAAAAAAAAAAAAACTGTTTTAATGAACTCACAGAAGTCCTAAATTATAAACAGTCAACAGATTAAACACCAGTAATTCCTAAACACCTACACGTCTCTTCTGCCTGCTAACACTATACCCCAAATCTTACATGTTTGAGCATTCCCTAACCTGGAAAACTGAAATCCAAAACTTTTGAGTGAAAACAGTAATGCTCAAGTTTCAAGTTCAGAGCATTTATGATTTTAGATTTTCATATTAGAGGTACTCAATTGATGAAGTCTATTATGAATGTGCCAAAATCTGAAAAACTCCAAAATCTAAAAAACTTCTGATCCCAAGCATTTAAGGGATAATCAACCTGTATTAACAGACCCCACCCCTTTCACTATCCCTTTCCCTAATTCCAGTTCTAAATAACTAAGTATCCCACTTGCATGTTTAACAAACATTTTATTAAACACTTTTTACATGCCCAAGACTAAATTGATGGTGCCTCCAAAGCTGCTCCACCCTTGCAGTTGCTGCGGCCTAAAACCTGAGTCTTATTCATGTCTTCCATTCTCTCTCAAGTCATCAAGAAACCTATCTAGTTAACTCTGTCTTGAAAACATTCCAAAAATCTAAGAATTTCTTGCCATTTTCACTGCTACTATAACAATGATCCACTTTATGCTTTGAGTAGCCCTTGCTGCTCTGCCACTGTAACTTATTTTTAAAAGGACACATTTTCTTTCTCTCCTCTCCCCCAACCCCAACCCACCCAATCTCAGCAGAAACAGAATTACCTTTCTTCCCCATCCTCAGCAGTTATCTATCATTGAGCACACACTCACCACAGGATCAAATTAACTTAGACTTTGGGGACAGCACCAGAAGATCTCAGAAATGACTAGCTCCCAGATCAACAAGTGAACTACAACTCTGAAAGAACACATATGTAGCCTTTGAATCACCTATTTAAAACCCCCTGTTCCCTGATGGGCAGAATCACAACCTACATGACAAGGAGTCCCCCGTGCTTCTTCTTTGCTAGAAAAGTAATAAAACTTTTTCCTTTTTCTCAAAACCATGTCCTCATTATTAGATTGGTATTTGGGGGGGGGGGGGGCAAATACCAAGTTTCTGACAACACTACCAACCAGCATGCTACTTTAAAAAAACAAAACAAAAAACTTTTAATCAACCTCCTCCTCCTGAGCTTGTCCTCCACTGCAATAGTATTCTAAACAGAGAACCTTTTAAACATAAATTTGACCTTGTTACTCCTGTGCTCAAAACCTTGTTTTGGCTCCCCATTATGACTTAAAGTAGAGCCAAAGTCTTCTTGGTAGTTTATAAAATCTCATGCCTTATCAATCTTCCCTAATTAATATGCTTCAGTCACAAAGGACTCCTTGCTGCTCCTCAAATATGCTGGGCATGCTACAGTTCCCTGAGACCTTTGCACAGGCTGCCTGAACTCTTTTTTCACTCAACTGAAAAGGGTAGACTTCATCTTCTCCTAGTCATGGCTCAAATGTTTCTTCTACATTATTAGGTTTATTAACTGTGATGATACTAAAACAAACTAAAATAAAGACCCCCTCTGAAATTAAGGGCACTTCCTGATAACTTTTTTCCTGCATGCCATGTTTTCTCATACCGAGAATAAAGCCTAAAAGACTGCCCCCCACCCTCCACCACCAAGGTCCCAAGTCCAGAGAAGGAATTCATTAAGAGAATAGGAACTACTTCTCTGCTCTGGCCTGTCTAGCACAGGCTAACTTAAATCTGCATATCTATTTCCTTCCTTATGTCCTAGTTTGCTGCCTCTTATAAAAAGCTTTCCTGATCCTTCAATTTTCTGAAGATGGAAATTTGAAACATAAATTTCTTCTATCTTCCTTCAAAGCTGACTTGAATAAAACCTGTTTTCCTACCAATCTGACTCCAAATATTTGCCTCCCCTCTACTATGGATTTTTTCCCTTTTTTGTTCCTGCAGACTTCCAAACACCCAAAATAATCTGTAACACCATGAAAGGACTCAAATATTTGTCATGTCAATAGAGAACATAATTTTTTAAAATAACTACAATTCATATGTGAAAACTGATAAGAAGAAAACATCCACAGTACTATAAGGGAATAGGAATTCTCACCAAGTCTACAAGTTTTTTAACATTTCCTCAGGAATACTTGAGAGCTGAAGTACGAATGAAGTTAGAGTACAATTGTAAAAAGAGACAGAAAAACTCACAGATATTCTCAACCAACTAAAATGCAGAAAATGATGGGGCTGGGGTTGTGGCTCAGTGGTAGAACACTCGCCTAGCATGTGCAAGGCCCTGGGTTCGATCCTCAGCACCACATAATAAATAAATAAAATAAAAGTATTGTGTCCAACTACAACTAAACAATAAATATTTTTTAAAAATAATAAAATGCAGAAAATGACAAGTGGAAGGTGAAAAGTTGAAACTGCCTGCATATACCACTGGAAAATCTTCATGAACACCAATGTATACAAACACCCCAGCCTGAAGACTGATGGGTCTACATCAACTACCGTTCCTTCCTCCTCTCCTGTTCACTCTTTTTTCTTTAATTGATTATATAATATTTCAAACATATAAGATCCCTTCATAATAATCATCCTAATCTGGTTTCTTTTCCTACTCCTCCATTGAAACAACCCATCATATCTGAACTGCTAAATCTAACAAACACATTTCTGTCCCAGCCTTCCTAGAACTCTCAGAAACATCCAAAGTAAGGGTTCATTCCCACCTAGATATTTTATTTCTCTTGACTATCATGGTACCACACTCCCCTGATTTTTGTTTTTATTGTTGTTACCAGGGATCGAACCTAGGAGTACTTAACCACTGAGCCACATCAACAGCCCTTTTTATTTTTTTTATTTTGGGACAGGGTCTAAGTAGCTTTGGGCCTTGCTATGTTGCTAAGGCTGTTTTTTTGTTTGTTTGTTTTTTGGTTTTGGGTTTTTTTTTAAGAGAGAGAGAGAATTTTGTAATATTTATTTTTTAGTTTTTGGTGGACACAACATCTTTATTTTATTTTTACATGGTGCTGAAGATCGAACCCAGTACCCGGCGTATGCCAGGCGAGCGCGTTACAGCTTGAGCCACATCCCCAGCCCTAAGGCTGGTTTTGAACTCATGATCCTCCTACCTCAGCCTCCCAAACTGCTGGGATTACAGGTGTGTTCCACAGGCCTGGCCTCCCCTGATTTTCTTTCTTTTTCCAATTGTTCCCTCTCTGTTTTCTTTGTAGGTTCTTCCTTCTAAATTACACCTCCAAGTCCTAGGTACTCAGGACACTAAGGTGGGAGAATCACTTCAGCCTAGGAATTCAAGACCACTCCGGCAGCCTGGGCAACATAGCAAGACTGTGGCTAAAAATAAATAAATAAATATTTGTTTAAAAATTTTTTTAATATCTTTATTTTGTTTTATTTATTTTTATATGCTGCTGAGATCGAACACAGTGCTTCACATGTGTGAGGCAAGCGC